TCTCACATTTCTCATGCCATCAACTGTGCTACCTCAAACTTCCATCCACCCTAACAACCCTTGAAAAAGCACTTCCACTTCAAAATGAAGCTTGGTGCTGTGCTGCGGGCACAGGGGCATACAACAACTGCTAGGGGCATAATTGGGGTTTAGCATAAGACCAGTTAGATTGCTACTAATGCACAGGAACTTTCTACAATCGGCATGAAGGGAAAAAATTATGCAACCTTATAACAGACCAAACCCCCCAAAAATAGTTGTGTTTCCTGTTAGTGTTACCGTTGAAATTCATGGTCAATTTTATGCTTGTGCGTGCACTCAGTTGTAACAATCCAGAAGTTGTGTCAGACCGCATTTTGTACATACGTTGTACAACACAATTCCACATCAGCATTGGAATCATTGATTGAGTGGCTTAAGAATAAATTTAAGAAAAGCTGATGGTTGCTGGTCCAAACACAAAAAAATGAGTAACAACTTTCAAGCTAACTAGCTTAAAATAAATTTCAAATTAGACCGAGGTGGGCAAAATAAATGTCTCTGTATGACTGGTTTTCTGAATAAAAACTAAAGGTTCTGCATAATTTTCTTGATCAGGTTGGGTGACCAGAAACACAGCTAGTTTTCTGTTTGGCATTACAAGAGTTACATTAAATGTACATGTACAGTGTATTACACATAGCTCGGTGTATCTTGGGAATTTGTCAAGTCGTCATCATCATTGTAGCTGTGCTTGCCAGAGTAATTCTGGTCATAGCCATAGGAGTCGGAAGGCTGACCATCGTAACCAGGCCCATATGGATCGGGGTCGTCGTAAGGTGCTGAATAGTGGTCATTACTGGAGGAGTGGCCATCTGGGATGCGCTCGTCTTGGTCGTAGTTCAGGTAGTAGTCCTCGTTTTCAGCCGGGGGCATGTTGTACTCCTCCTGACCATCAGGGTGACCGTAGCTCTTGTATCGATCGCCGTATTGATCGTCGTAAGGATCCGTCGGATGATCACTGTAGTGGTTATTGTATTCATCTTGGCCGTAAGACCCATCATCACGCCGGTCGTCATATCGATCCTCTGGATGGTCATCATAGCGGTCACTGTACTGATCTCGTTGGTCGTCATACCCATCATAAGGTCGATCATCGTACCGATCATCATATCGATCACTGTACTGATCATTGTATTGGTCATTGTAATGGTCATATGGATTGTTCTTTTCCTGCTCCTGTTGGCTGTTCAAGCTTTGCTCATATGCATGGTTATCATAGTCATAATCGCTGGGCATCTGATCCTGGAACTTTGCACTCTCATATGGATGATCTTTCACCTGTGGATCTTCATATCTTCCGTCATCATAGCGAGGCTCACGGTAACCAGAATCGCTGAAATTCCGGTCGTCAAGATGTTTGTAGGAGTAGTCTCTGTCATTGACCGGGTCATAGCCATTGTGGCCACGCCTTTCCTCATCATGCATATTCATGTAAGGGCTAGACCGGTCCTGGAAAGGCATCTTCATCCCCCTGATGGTTGGGTAGTCATTTTTGACTGCACTTTGCTCGTAATGCACAGCATCCGTTGGCGGCATCGTTTCTCTCCACCACTTGCGTGGGTCGACATCATCTGGGGCACCTCCACCGCGCTTCTCTCGTGGAATAACGTCAGGATCACTGTTCGCCTTGCCGTCTGGGTAGTCCTTCCTATCACTGTACTGGTCGATTTTGTGATTGGACATCTTGCTGGGGGCGCCGTGGAATGCACTGGCATTGTTCATTGGTATGTGTGAAGTAGCTCCTGCTTGCTTCTTCTTGGCGGACCACTTGGGAGGATGGCGCCTGCACCACCACACGACGAAGGCACCAAGCAGAACAAGGACAAGAAGTCCAACCACCAACCCAGCCACCAGCGCCCCAGTTGGAAATGATGCAGGCGTTGGCACGGGGGGTAGTGCTGTAGTGCCCCCAGTATTGGGTTGGGTGGGTTCGGGCAGACCCTCGATGAGCAGCATCTTTGATACCGTTGCAGTGATCCCATCGCGATCTATCGCACTGCAAACCAAACTGGCTCCATGATCGTCAATTTCTACTTTGGCTATGGTCAGAATTGACCTGTTGGTGCTCACCGAAACTGTGTATCGATCTGCCCCAAAACTGCTGGGGAGTGTCCACTCGATTGCACCGGCCAAAAAAGTAGACGTGAGACTACTGACTGAGCATATGAAGATTGCTTGCTCATTAATGAGTATTGGTTCTGAAGCCTCTATGGTGACAACTGGTTCAGACACCACGTTTAGGGCTGGGAGTGAGCAGTCATTGGATATGTCATCGTTGGGATCAGACGGGATACCCAAGTAAGCCAACTGGCAGGAAAAAACGGCACCATCATCTGCATTTTGCGCAGTGAGTTTAACTGTTGCTTCGCTGGTCACACTTCCGTGACTGACATTTGCACTGACACTTTGACCGTTCCTCATCCATGTTAGGTTAACTGCTGGCATGGCAGACCCTGAAGAACAGGCTAGTGTCACCGATTCTCCAAGGAGCACTTGTGTGTTGCCCGAATTTGACTGTATGGAGCACTGTGCAGTTGAGGGGTTAGGTGGGTGGGCTATGGTGAGAGTGGCAATGTTAGATTCCCTGATGATATTATTTGTGTCACATTTTGAGTCGGCCGTTTTGCCACAAATGAGACACCTGTACTGTCCCTCTTGGTTCCTTGCCAGGTTATACACATAGAGGGTATACCTTGCTGTGGTAGTTATGTCCGAGTGGATGAAGAAATCTGCAGGATTTAATCCCAAACCATTTAACACGTCGCTTCTTACACTAATATCATCACTGAAAATATCAGTGCCCCTTTGAAATGACAGGACTTGAGTGCCAGAGTCGAACTGCTCTACTGCACAAGTTATCGTTGCTGGTCCCGCTCCCTCTTTAGCAACCACATCTACCGGCTGTTCGGAAAATACCTGCCCATTCACGACAACTGCATCAAAAAGCGACACCACAGCGAGGAGCAAGCAAACCCAAGCCATGATGAAGTCACGGTATGACAGGCAGTACACGGTAGTGAAGCAAGTTAGTTTCCAGTGCTTCGAGTTTCACGGGTAAAATTGCGAGTTATTAAAGTTCAACGGTTCGACGCACCAATTTACTCACCAACGCCCTCCACTCGTACTCACGATGCACGCAGACGGCGTTTGGCAATCAAAATGCGAGAAACACGGCCAGCCTGTGTTTCCTGAGCACACTGAGGACTAAAGTCTGTTGGTTGTGAGGAATGTCAGGTTGTTCCAAAAAACATTTTTCCAGCATCACTCATCCACCAACAGAATGTGAGCGGGTTTTTAAACTGCGAATTCCGTGCAGAGAGGTAACACTACCAGCAGCAGCGCATTACACGCTATCGATATATGAAAGCCATCAGCGCTGGCGACGCTTGTTATCTTTATGCAAATCTTGCTGACCGCGCCACACTGACGCATGATTGGTTATTCCCTACGTCATTCTGCAAATCAGTTACTTGCAACGGATCACGGACTTCATTGTTAATGTTTCTGAGCCTTATATGGGCATAAAACAAATACCGCGATTGACATAATGGTGGTTTTTAGAAGAATGACTCGATCGATTTATCCTTAAAAAATTTTTGGTCTATGCTTATTTTAGGCATCTGAAAGGATCCAGGAATTGATAATATTTCATGAAAATAGTTCTTTGATTAGAAAAAGCGAACGGGGGCGCTATATATAAATTACTGTCGGGTTACGAGCAGGCTGGTATCTTGTCAGCGGTGCACGGTGGCGGTGCGGCAAAGGGAAAGTTGAGGCAACCTCGTTTTCAGTTGTCGTTTTGAAATATAAAGGACATTTTTTGCCTTCTGATTGCTTAAAAGAAATGTATAAATTCATAGGCATCGATATGCATCATGTTTGCAATTATAATTGAAGGCAAAACTCTCAAAATTAAAGGTATTTAATTTTTCAGATATTTTCAATTAAGTTTTGCGTACTGTACATCCCTAAAATGTACCGTGTGATTGTGATAACTCTGCAATAAACCTTTTGTGAGTTAAATTTGAATATAATCTGATACACTGAGTTCTATTTACGTGAAGATAACAATTTGAATTTTCCATACTAAAAACACTTTCGCTATACTTTGTGATTCGGGGCAAGCTTTTGCTTAGTTACATAAGAGACGCCTTGCAACAATACACTGTTCTCAATGGATAAGAACGGCACAAAGGAACCAGTCCATTCCAGAGATGGTGGTCGCTATGCGAAAGCTTGCCCCGCATCGCGAGGTATAGCAACAGTGTCCTTTGTCTCGGGAATTCAAATTGTTACGTTTATGTGCAATCAGATAACTCAGTTCACCAGATTTTATTCACATGGCTAATTTCATCGCAGCAACAGCGCCCTCATATTTTGTCAGGCGAAGCATTGACTATAAAAGGCATAAAGGATATGTATATATTAAAAAAATAAGAATATTAACCAAGATTTCAAAATATTTGCATCATAAAAGATCAGAAACATAAAAAAGTGAAAGTCATGTCGTAGGCCCTTTAAACATGTCTTCCCCCCGAAGTGTAAATTAAAAGAAACAAATCCGATGGGGTTTCTTCAAATTTCATTGGCTCAATTTCAGACATTACCACGCAAACATGAAACAACATATCCATAGTAATGCATGCATAGCACTGGCGTAATGTTCGTCCAGCTGCATGCAACCCTTTCTTAGTCTGAGACCACTTTGTGACGCAACTCTAGAAATGAAATCTAATTCTTGCATTTCCAACCGCAAACAGATTGATATCAGAATACCGGTGTGTAATAGCATGACTGGATGCAACTATTTTTGGCAATTTTTCTGTTGTCATACATGAAATGACATTTACTCCATGAAAAAGAATGGTGTTCAAATCAAACGAGTGCATCCCGTTAAGGCCTTGTTTGGACTGCACTTCCCGGGGATAAATCAATAATTCAGAAAAATGACGAAAGAATTACTTGTGCAAAATTGGATTTTATTGACCTTAAACAACAATAAACATTCTAAAAACAAAATGATTGTTTCACAACAACTTTCCACCTAATTTAACCTCTCAGAAAGATTTATCTTATAAGTCAGAGCCTAGTTAACCAAAGTTAAAAACCTGGGTTTTTTCTTCATGATTTAAAGGTTTAAATGGTGGACACAACAATATGAGGTGAAAATCGGAGCACCATGCATGCGATAATCTTTTGTGGGATGGGGTAAAAGGGGGCCATGTAGGCCCTATGCTGATGCGGTCCGTCGCCAGGGAGACGTCATCCGAAAAATAACACAGTATTGGTGTTCAATGTTTGTTTTATTTCACTTCGAAGTAGATGAAGATAGAGTGGCGTTAAAGTAATCTGTGTCGCTGGGATGGGAGAAGACTAAAAAAAAAAAAAAAAAAACCTGCGCGGCTGCAAATTCTGAAAGTGTGTAGGGGGGGAATGCTGGAAATCACCTCACACTAATGGCCGTGTGCGTAATACAAATGTACATGTTATCTACGCTATGCAACCCTTATAACCTGACATCTAACCGCCGTATTTATTTAAAGCTTTTGTATTTCTCCATTTGCAGTGCTACTGAATACATTTTTCTGCTGGAAAGTTGCAAGATACCTCAAAATCCGCCTTTTTTCCTCACCACAAATATGGGGAGAGGATCCCCGGTCAAAGAAGGGTTCCTCCTTTTCCTTTGGGGTTTCTCCTCTGTCAAGCTATGGCCATCAGAAGGAAAACAACTTGTGAAGAAGTCATGGGTGTGGAAAAAAGTACAACGTCGTTTTTTATCTGATATTTATAGTAAAGATATTGTTATGCATTAATTTTACCTATGATCTTCACACTTCTCCTTCTCTATATCTCTATTATAACGACATTCAAAACTGGTCCGTTGGTTGGTCAACCATTGACCTCACAGTTGTTCGCTCAGGGTACGAGGGCCGAGATATCTGTAAATTAGTCAAAGACAAGGAAAATGGTATTTGAAAAACTAATGTATAATACCATTCACTTACTATATTTGCTATTTGTCCATCGCCCACTTTACTGATTTGTGTAACGAAATTCATCTTCTGCTGTGGCGAGTAGTTCATTTTCAAATTACTGAGCTTTAGCGCCCTCTGGCAACATCTCAGCAGACGGTCAAACGTGCTGACAAGATTTTTACACTGCAAATTATTATTGTGGTGTTTTAACGCTGTGTGGCGTTGAACTAACACTGCACATTACTGATTTAACTTCGTGTGGTATCCACAAGTGACATAAGAGGGGGTGGGCATGGTGACACGGCCCACTGTTCGAGTATACTCTTTTTCCTGTGTGCCCCGTATCCTGTTCAAAAATTAGGATAGGAACATATCTGATGGTAGTCTGTTTTGGTCCATGTTTTAAATGTGACCAAACCTATAAGCCTTTTAGAAGCATGGCGGACACAATAGCAGGGCCCTCTCCAAAATAAATGTGGTTCCCAAGGCCCCCCCCCCGCAAAATGTATCCTAGTTATGCCACCGGTATCAACAACAGACCACTGGGCACACATTACATGAAAAAGTAATGCAAATTTTGTTGCGATGGTGATGTCTCTGAATTAACAAGATTTCTGACAAACAAGTTTGTCAAAACACTGTATGCTCAGTGCTTGTCCGAGAGCTTGCGGGAAAAAGTCAAAAACTTACTCGGGTGGGACTCGAACCCACGACCTCCTGCTTACTAGTGCACACGTCTTAACCACTCGACCACCGAGCTTGCCGGGGTCGGTTGGCCGGTCCGAGTCAGGAGAAGCAGCGGGTACCGCGAACCGGCAAGCTCGGTGGTCGAGTGGTTAAGACGTCTGCAGTAGTAAAGCACTAGTAAGCAGAAAGTCGTGGGTTCGAGTCCCACCTGAGTAAGCTTGTGACTTTTGTCGTAAGCTCTCGGACAAGCACTGAGCATACAGTGTTTATTAATATATACGTTGGGTAAGGGCAAAACCCGTTATATAAATTGTTGTGTTGTTGTTTGTAAAAAAAAAAGCGGTGGCTCAGTGTGCATATCACCTTGTGGTATATGACTGACGTGGTTGCACCCTCCATCATAAGCGCGGAACAGTCCGGGTTGTCTGCACACGGCTCGCCCAAAGAAGCAATAGTTCCAGTAGGTCATCCCGTCTGTGCCACACACGGGTGAGTTAATGTCCGGGCAGCGCTCTTGGCATGCATCTAAGGATTGCCAAATGCATAAAAAACATGGTGTTAAGAGACAAGTCATGTTAGGGTTACGTCAATTCGAAAAACAACAAAAACAAATCACAAAAACAAACCACAAAGAAAAGCAAAACAAAACAAAAAACAACTTCTTCATTGGGTAAAATTCAACTTATGAATAATCAATATTGCATTTCCTAAAAATCATGAACATTGTTATTGTTTTTTGTAACTGACACACCATTGGTTAAGGTTTTACTTGTCAATTTTCCGGCCATACAGTCCCCGGCGTATGCCTCGACCAAACTGAAATCTCTCCGCTTACACGCCGTCCGTCTGAGGTAGCACAGCGAAGGGTAGGTCACACCATCTGTCCCGCACACGGGAGGCCCGCCGAATGGGTTGCACGGTCTTGATACCAAACAAACTGGAGAACAAGTAGGAAGACACAGCGAGTAATTTAACTATCAAATGGATAAGTTATCGATTATAGAGCATATTGATGATTTATAAGTTGATTAAAGTGATATGTCACTTGTGAATGAAACCAGAGGGGAACATTTTTAGTAGGCCCCTATTTTAATTTTGATCATGAAATGATTGACCTCAGGTTAGGCGTCTTTTCCTTGGTACATTAAAGGTCATTTCTTTTGTTTGTTTTCGAAATAATCGAAATTAATGTGGTTATTGCTGTATGGAAGGATATAATAATGTGTGGAAAACTAAGCATACTTTAATAGCTAATATTTTCCTTTTGCCTATTCGGTTGGGATGCTCACCCCTGACTGGTATCTCACAAAGACCAGCGAACGAAACTCTCAGTCCAGGATTTCTTTGCTGACACGCTTCTCTCCTCAGTTGGCAGATGTTGAGATAGCTCTTCTTGTCCGTTCCACACACTGGGTCGAAGAAATCATCGCACGAGAAGCACTCTGAGAAATGGGGACGAATACGCTTTGGATCAACCAGAACAGTCGTGTATCTTGGTTTCCTGTTCGATTTCGTTTAATTTGTCACTAATTCAAACGAACTGACAATAGATTAAAGTCACTTTTTAGTTTTGTTTCTCTCCAAGTGATTACCAGCGAAAATGGTACCATTTTAAGAAAGAGCGCAGACCCCTTAAAATGGATGCTTAGTGTATCTGATGACTTTGTTGGGAAAGCCAACTTTTGGTCACAATGCTACCACGATGACTACGTTTTTGTACCTTCTACTTCTGGTGTTCCGGTGCAATTTCCACTTCGGACTGGTGTAAGGTTTTGATCCCCAGTTTTACAGGCAAGATCCCTCAGCTGGCAGAGATTTGCATACGTTTTCCCGTCTGAGCCGCAGATTGGACGGTACGGTATCGAGAGACACTGGCCATCAGCGGGGCAGGACCAATCAAATCCGCTTAAATGTGTCAGGGTCGGAGAAGGATGCGTTGTTGAAGTTGTTGATTGGTCAGAAATTGATTCTGTTTCTGACGGTTTGGGTTGCGTCGTGGGTTGTCTCGTTGTTTCCATGCTGTTCACTGTCGTGGAAGGTGATGCGTCAGCTGTTGGACTTTCATGCGCAGCTGTTGGTTGGGTCGAAGTTTCTTGAGTGGATGACACAACTGGAGAGGGCGTTGTTGTAAAACCCGTCGTTACCAGGCGACTTGGTGAGGGCCTTGCTGTTTCACTTGTTGTAAAGAGCGCTGGTTTTGCCGTTGCTCTCCCTGTATAAATTACAGTGTTGCATTCGAGTCTATCACAAATCCTTTCACAAGTCCCTTCACAAGAGCAGTCCTAAGTAACAGGGTGAACAATGACAACAGAATGCTTTTTTATCGCTCACTTGAATAGCTTGTGAATTGGCTTAAGACAGAATGACCTGTGGACTTGTGCTGGACTTACAGGGACTTGCAGGGACTTGTGCTGGACTTACAGGGACTTGCAGGGACTTGTGCTGGACTTACAGGGACTTGCAGGGACTTGTGATGGACTTACAGGGACTTACAGGGACTTGTGCTGGACTTACAGGGACTTGCAGGGACTTGTGCTGGACTTACAGGGACTTGCAGGGACTTGTGCTGGACTTACAGGGACTTACAGGGACTTGTGATGGACTTACAGGGACTTGCAGGGACTTGTGCTGGACTTGCAGGGACTTGTGATGGACTTACAGGGACTTGCAGGGACTTGTGCTGGACTTACAGGGACTTGTGATGGACTCGAATATAATACTGATAAATTATTATTGAAAGAAATTTGCAAAACTAATATTGATAAAAAGTTATAAGCGATATTGTAGACATGATATTAAGTGCGACAAAGTAGGCCTTTATGTGGGCTTACCATCTGTTTCCCAGCCAATCAACTCATTGCTGGAATCTTTGTCCGTCTCCTGACTGCCTATTGTCTCTTCATCCGGGCAGGGACCAAAGTGAGCTACGGCAAGCAGCCTACCCCGCAATGCTCGCCGGCGCCCGATAATCAGGCCCACAAGGCCTGGAGCTCCGCACGCGGCTAGGCGAAGGTGACACACCGACCGGTAGGTTCTACCGTCAGTTCCGCATACCGCGTGGTCGTGCGACCAGCATCTTGTCGGACATATCAGATGTTCATCTTCGGAAGCTCCTAAAAATGAACCATCGTTAAAGAAAGAGAAGTTGATTATCCTTTTTATTTAACGCTTTAGTTTCTTTATACTGTCTAGCTCAATGCAACTTTGTTTTCTGCGATAGCAACAGCGATTAGTTTAGCTGGTGTGGTTGAGAGATTCGGGAATTTCAGAAAAGAGAAAAGCTAAAGAACAAATTCACTGTAGCTGATTGGTTAATTTTCCCCGCCGGTGCGGAAGGATTCTTGTTAACTGCAAATGATGAACGGCTCCCGTGAACCAGTTTAGGGGTTTCACGTAACCCTTGCCAAGCATAGCGGCCGCTTCAGTTCGAGCACAGACCTGCGTCACTTCAAATTGTTTTGTGAATAGTACCTGGTTTCCCGCCAGTGATGTCTGCGATCGTCTGCTCCTCCTGATCCTCCGTGCATTTGCCATCGTGCGCTCGGCGTAACACCGCGCCCGCCGGACCCGGTGGTGAGCAGCTGGCGAGTACCAGCGAGCATTCATCCGCGTAGGTTTGACCGTCTGAGCCGCACACGGGACGCACTGCAGTTAGTGCGTCAGGGCATACCCCGGTCCGACAAACTGCTTAAGACAAGATTGACAATAAAAGCAGTAGACTAATCACAGAGGAAACATCATTGTAGGGGTATACAAAAAGTATACGTCATTGACTTTCCAGCAACCAAAAAGGATATGAGGTTGAGGGGTATCAGTAAAAATGATTTACAGTCAAACAAATTAGAAAGTTAGATAATAAACCAAGAGATTTTCTGTAGAATAAGCACAGTCAACAAATAACTGTCACGAAAACTCGGTAGTAGACATGAGCTATTGTTTAGCTGCTATTTGTAATGATACCCAAAAGTCGTCAGAAACAATCAATATATACTTAACGGCTTTAATATTATTTTGACACAAAACAAAACAAAAACATTGCAGCAACAAAGGGAAACAGAACAGACGGACAGCATTAAAACTATAAGGGACAAGTTAGCTTTGAATAATTTGAAGGTGACACACTTTAGATGCTTTATACCTTGTTCCCTTAAACGATTTTCTCTGTATGCCTGGGTGGCCAGGTACACCGATACTGTGAAAACTGTACATAGAAGAAGAGCCAATGGTAGGATCCTCAGCGCTACACCGGCTGAGAACTCGGTCTGGAATCTGAAAGGCAAACAAGAATGTGCGTATCTCTGATGTTACAGATTCTTGGGAGTTGTAATGATGCATGACGGGAACGTGCGGCCATGGGCCCAAACGGTATGCGAGTAGCGAATGCTCGGCCTCAAAGTGAAATGCGTCACGGCTTATTATTCGAGAGCATAATACGCACGAGAGCGTGGTTCAACCAGCGTCTCATACGTGCTGAACATTCGAACTTGCGTGACGTCAGGTGCTTTGTTCCCCAATGACCTTGCCTTTTTGAAATACCGAACTGGCTTGTTAACGACAGCGTGCCATAGGGGCGTTTGGTTTTTAACCCCTTAGTAGGCATGCACCGCCCTGACTTCCGTAGCATGTGCCACAATTTTAATTTCCTCGTCTGCCCCACAAGACAACACAGGCCGTGACATTTATTTTGTGATTTTATTTTTTTTAGTGAAGCAGAAGCAGTTCAGAACCGGTGCTGACTCAGAGTTGAACCGCGGTTGTCTGGCTCGTTGTCAGCTTCCCGTAAAAGCTTCCAGACAGGTGGATGTAGAGAAGGTTTAAATAGGGGGATATGTCGTTATGGTGTAGCCCCCATAGATTAGATGAGTTGATGCACAAATTGACGATTGCCCTTAAGTGGGTATTTAGAGATCAACCAAAAACACGAATGGGAGGAGAGAGGATAAATCGGGTACGATCAGGATTTTCAAGAAGCTGAATCGCAAATCTAGTATTATGCACCCCAATATTATGTATATAAACTTTGATTTAAGAAAATATTTCCTTGCATGTACTTTTTCGATCGTGGGGTGCGATTTGCCGGACACGACGGTCAATGGGCATGCCAAAACCGAGAGAAAAATGATAATAAGACTATATTTATAGCATCGTTTGTGCGTGGTAGATTTTTTTCGGCTTGTATATCACCGTCATTTTGTTCTTGTCACAAATCGAGACTCTTTCAATCTGCTGGGCAATGGTTGGATAAACACCACGTGTCAAAAGTCTTCGGTAGCTAAGTTTCGGGCAGCGTGTTCTAATTGCCTCAAGTTGAAAAAAACAAGTCAACACCACTAAGTACTTGGTGGATCCACTTCCTCGGTTCGATCATAAATGTTCTCTGTCCAGATCGGCCTCGAAGCATTTTGCGTGTTACAATACCGTAAAGTTTTATAGTATATTTGAAATGCCAAATGAAAAAAAGTGAAAAACCAATTTTAAAACCACGAGGATGGCCACAAATTTCTGCCAAATGACAGGCGTGCTAGGATTAATTTTGGACAAAGAGTTTTGCTCATTAAATCACTGCTACGGTGGCCGCCTTTAAATGTTTGCAGGCAACATGTATACTGCCGTGGTGTACCAAAAGAAAGATCTACTGCGCCATATCTCTGTATAACTGCATCAGTCTGTGGAAATCTTGCGTTTATTTCTAAACAAGTAAACAGTCCGCTAACTCGTCTCTTCATGCTCCTGACTGATGTTAGAATCTTGATACTATATTTGGTTTTTATTAAACCTTACAACAGGGTGAGGTTATCCAACAGCCTGGCCTGTAGACATTCCTATGACCTACGAAAACTTGGGTGTGTACGAACAAATGTCTTCAAATATACTACTATGAAGACACACACCCAAGTGTGTAAACGCCTTCACTCGTGGACTCCCTATTGTTCCTCTTTTGTTTATACTTTAACTTTTTCGGAAGACCTCCCATATGTTTTGTACACGTTTTCCAACCGTGGACTCTTCGGCAACCGTGGACCCTATTGTCCCATATTGTTATAGGTCCACGATTTGGATGTGTATACAAACTCACACAAACCCAAACCATCATACCCTACATGATGTGGACTTCTTTTGTGCAGAGGTCCACACTAAGCCACACCACGCCAGAGCAGAAACGTCTTGGGAAGTGTTGGCGTCTCCGGAATTTCGATTTCAATCGTACGCTTCAAATTAAACTCACACAGCTTCGGCATCCACATGAAATTTAAAACTACAATTAACACTTACCAGCGCTATGATGAATTTAGTGAACGTGCATAGGACGGACTAAAGACTACAGAACACTGGTGAACACCTGGCCCTGCCTGGACTGCCACATCTACACAGCGAAACATCCTGCCTGTCCGCAGTTCTCGAACATGAGTGTCGTTTGTGCGGTTGATATGCATCTCGTGCTCCTGCGCCTTAATTTAAAGTAGCAACGTTCCGAATAATCAAGGAAGTATTGTAAGCATTTGCATTTTGTATGGCTAGAACTCTTGCATTGCCGCTCCCTGTAATTACACGGCACCTATATATATATAGTTCAGAGCATAACACTGGGGATACGGTCTGCGCACGCTGTTCCCACATGTCGCTATACAAAGATGTCGGCACGGTCAGCTTGCGCGAGCTACTTTCAGGCCCGATGTGTTTGCAGTTCAGGAGGGAACCTAAAACGAACCTGAAAAATGTGTCTCTCCTTACCTCATAAGGTTCTGGATCGGTAAAAGTATTCGTCTCTTCGGCCTCAAAATCAGAAGTTATTTATGTCTCGAATGGAAGTTGCACTCGGCAGTGGCGCTACTTCTCTGTCTATGGTTGGGTCTGCTGCGTTTGAGAATGAAGATGAGGCCTCGTTTTTATAACAGGTAAATGACGTCATGTTTATATTTTGCTATCTTTTGCCCCTTCTTGGTGTGCCAACTAGTACCTCTCGTCCTATGTACTTGAAAACCCCAAGAATTCTTAGAATTCATCTTAGTCATGCACACTGAAGAATGCAAGGAAACAACGGGTGATTTGTAACTGACCAATCAGCGTCGACGAAATTATCCCCGGAAATCTTCCCGGATTTCAAAACAAACTCTGAAATGACAATAACTTCATTATAATTGGTTTTCATCTTTGAGTAATTTATACATCTTATAGTAATATTAGGAATAGGAATATAGAATATAGTAATACAGGAATAATCCAGACCAATACGTTTTAACATTAATTTTGGTTGAATCGGTGTTCATGATGTGTATTTCGTTTTAATGAGAAAATAAAGTACTGCAAGCATACGAGAAGTATGTAATGGCAATGTGATTTGAAAACGTGAATGTGGCATTGTTGAAAGCTTCACTCTAATTTCAAATTGTCAACGATACTAAGGCATGTTGGGCAAAAATCTGGGTTAAAAGCAGTGTGTTTGATTAATATTGACTGAAAATGCCATTACATCAACTCTGTTTGCATTTTGTGTCAAAAACGTGTTTTAATTAAATTAAAACAAATTCTGCAGTTTGTATTGTTCCTATGACTTTTTAAAAATCTGTTAATTTAGTTTATGACACGAATTAAATTTAAGTCTGTCTTTACACGTTAGGAATTTCTCTCTTTGTCTGTGTTAGAAACACGGGCAAAACTAGTATCCAACGGAATATCGACACAATCTCATTTGTCCAGAAGGCCGAAGCTCTTTTGCGTAGAAGCCAGTTATCTTCATCAATTTAACAATGTTGTGAGTTGCTAACAAATCGTTGCACTTTTTTGATGAAAGAAAGTGAAATGTGGCTTTTGAATAATGCCAACCTTGGGTAGGCCAAGAGTTGATGACTAATGGTAGAGATGTCTTAATTCCTACATTTGATCAACATCACTCCTAAAGTGCCTTGGACGGGAGGAAGTGATCCCATCCTCCCTGCATGGAAAATGTAATGGCCTCGCTTTCCAATTAGTTAACTCAATTAACTTCGTCGGTTTTATTTGTTTTGATTATGATAATGAAGACGTAAGCGCAGTATCATCGTGACTGTACGACAAAACGCCGAAACCAATTTGGTGCAATTTGATGTTAGAAAAGCTTGAAGTCCAAACGTTGAGGGCGCCCTGCAAGTCAATCACGGGGCTCTAAAATTACGCAAAGTAGGCGCGTTGATGTTCTGTTAGTGAGGTGATTCCCCATCCATCGATCACACAAATGGTTCACTTTATTTATTAGTATCGTAATTTTTCCTGAATACTGTTTTTGGATGCTACGTCACTGGTTGTAGCATGTATGGAGAGAAGACGTTTGTGGAAGAGCTGAGCGCCGGTAAGCAAATTTTCTAAGTCACTCTTAACCATTCAGCCAACTGGCAAAGGGCTGCAGCTGAACATCCCTGGATATCGTTGTCATGACATTATTGACCAAAAGCTATACATGGCCATTTTTTCTTTCACTTCTATCAAAAGCATATTTATATAACACAAATCAAAACGTCAGGCCCTCAAACTTTTTTGATTTTGAAAAGCATATTTAAAAATGAAATGCAGCTCTCAGTGAGAAAAACTCAAGGAAATTTTCCGTTTTTTAGTAAACGATAAAATTGTTAAAATGCATGCCTTGCAGAAAAGCACGGAAAACCCTTCAACTGCGTCCTTGTCTTCTATTCATGTTATTTAAAATGGAAACCAAGGTACAATGTTTTCAAGATGTATTTTTGCGTTGGGGAGATGTTAATTATCTTATCTTAAGGTACAATATGTATCCTGGGATTTTTTTCTAACCTTTATTGGAGTCATCGGCGAATCAAACCCTAAAACTGTGTGCCTTGACCCAGCCTATCCTGGAGACGACAGAAAGTGCTCACGAATTAACTGAATGTGTTAATAAAATCTGTGATTGGCCATTGACGTGGAAAGAAAACCACAAAATGCACGACGTGTATTTTCTTTATTTTCGAATACCTATTCGCAACACCTTAACTCAGATAATCCGCATGAGTTACCGTACAATCGTACCATAAAAACTGTTGTTTTATCCAAATTTGACTGGAATCAGTCAAAAACCGTGGCAGCATCATTAATTTGTTATACAAAATGGTCAACTCTGCCATGGCAAAAGTAGTAGAAGTAATCTTATCTGGACGGTCCATTTTGCTGACACCACATAGTTTTACCTGTAACAGGTTTGAACACAATCATTGAATGGTCACCAAAGTTATGTCCAAAGAACTCTTTAAACTTAAATATCGGCAAATAAACTGTAAAGCGCCTTATCTTATCGCAAATCGTTTCTCCTGTAAGTTATAGTGTACATAGTGTCACGTAGCACTTTCTGGAAAATCGAGAAAAAAGTATTGAAATTTAGATGAGGATGAGTGAAAAAAAATCACCATGGACAACATGTTGGCAAATGTCTCACATTTCTTCCCTTTCACTTCCTTATTTGGAGAAAACGGAAACGCGTCTCGCCAGTCAGGAGCGCATTGCGCCCTTTTATACTTGGAAAAACATCACGTTGCACGAAGATGAACTGAGGGCCCGGAAAGAAAGCTGTGTACCGCAAAGAAGTTGCGTTGCTGGTAACAGCTTCCAGGTGCCTGCGGCGATGTCAAAGGGGAACGCCATGATTCGAGTTGGCATTTGCCAACCACCCATGTTCCTGCTTGGGTGGGAGTCAAAGTCAGCCTCTTCACGGATGAAATGAACCTTGGCTGCCTGCTCACCAAAATTATTAGGATTCTGAAATCGATTTCGGTTACAAAGGAACGGTTTCTTCAAATCTGCTCAGGTGGTGAGCCACTGCGTGGACATGCATTTAGAGACCTTTTCACATGAAAAAAAATAGATCCAGTGTGCAAACGAAAGAAAATGCATCTTTTGTTTATTATGTTTTCAATATGAAACACTTTTTCGTCATTGGCTGCAATCAAATGTTTAAAAGAAACCAATACAGTTTGTTCTTACGAAGGAATTCCCGATTCTTCGAGAAACTGGTTTGGGAGAAAAGTCCATTTAAAGATACACATTTACACCCCAGAGAGTTACTTTTGGGTTTATATGTTCAGAATTGTTTAAGATTTTATTGAATAAAAAGAAAACTACCCCCAAGAGAGACTTTGGCACTTATTATTTTTCATTTCAATCAGTAAAATCATTTATTTGACGCATAAACGTACTACTAAAAGTATCCCTAGAAGTTGAAAATGTGAATGTCCGAAATACAGAGGTACAGGACAATATGCTTTAGTTAATGATATCAAACACCAATCAGACTTTCAACTGAAATTATTATCATCGAGTTTTGCAGTTACTTGAAGCTATTTGGAACGGGTCACAATCGAGGATTGTAGAGAAAAATTGTCGTACAGGACCACGACATGCAATCAAACTCGATGAAATAGCAGGTAGATCATCTCTTAATTATTTCAGTTCTCTTAATTATTTCAATAAAATCATAACTATTTCCAATTTTCTCCCAGCATTGGTGTTCCACATCATAATGCTGTTCCTGAGCATCAGTTGGCCACTTTGCAGAAAGTTGGAAACGCCTATTATTTTATCCTTTTTTCAAAGCAGTAACAGAAGTAAATACAATGTTGTACATGTACAAGTTGCTCTGACAAGTAGAAAGTTGCATTAAGTGACCCAAGAGAGTGCATAACATGCAAAGCAAGTAAAAAAAGCTGCAAAGAATATTAACAAATTTACAAATTTAGTTCCCGACTGTAGTCAATTATTCAGGGCTATTTACTTTAAGACGAAGTGCACATACGAAACAATTTCCTATTGGTCATCGGTGTATTTATGCTACTGTATTTGTTTCTAAAATATAAAAACCCTTGAGTGCCTGTATTTGGAAAGTGACAACTTTTCAGCCTAAAAGTAAAGTATATCTAACGTACTACAACCTGTCTGAGCTTGGAAGGGTCCCACGAATGCACCTGCTGAACTGGATGCAGCTCTGTTCGTTTAGATCTGCTCGAGTGAATTGGTTGATGGTTTCAATTCACCGAAGGTCGCGATTTGTCTCGAGGTTTATGGCATCATCAGTGTCTGCAGGTTGGTACTCAATCTTGTGCCCTGGCGATTCATGACTGTCCTTCTTCCGTGTAATGACAGTAGCGACAATAGCAGCTACAAGTATAACGACAATGGCAGCAAGGACGATAAAGATGACGATGTTGGTGTTACCCGGCGTGTCATCGGCTGATTTGGGCGCCACGTATAGCGGTAGCAGGCTGCAGGATCTTTCTGTCTCGTTGTAAGCCTCGCTCGTTAGCGTACAAGTCAACACCGTGCCGTTGTCATTTTTGGTCGGGGTAATTCTAAGCCTCGACACCCGGAGGCCGCCGTCGTCAGAGACTTGCACCAGGTCCTTCTCCACCTCGGTGCCGTCTGTGGTCCAGTCAAGGTTCACGGGCGGACTGGCGATTTCTGAGGTGCAGGAGAAGTTCGTTGCTTGCCCCTCGACCACTCGCACGAAGCTGTCGTTCGGTGCCGCTGCGGGCTGCGAGTGGGTACAGATCGGGTAAGGATCGTCAGGTGGGTAATTGACAGCCAGACTCACCTCGTCAGATGTGGCGAATATATGATTGGCATCGCAGGCAACTTCAACGACATCCTTGCGGCACACGACGCACCTAAATCGACTGGTGTCGTTTCGAGAAGGGGAGGTGATGGACAGGCTGTAAGCCCTGGCCTGTAAGTCCGCGTTGATGTTGAGAGTGATCTTATACTTGGTTGGATCCAGACCCAAACCCACCAAGACGGGCCGACGGATGGTGAGCTCGTCGCTGATGATGTGGTGCTCTCTCTCAAACGACAAGACCTGGGAGGACTGTTCAAGACCGATGACTTGGCAGATAAAAGTAGCCATTGTCGCTCCCTCCTCCACGGTGATATTTGCAGGTTGCTGAACAAAACGCACTACAGCAGACACCGGCGACAGCAGCACAAAAATAGAGCAGAACACATTACACGAGCGCGCCATTTTGATTCCCCTCTGTTATGTCCAAAGTCCAAGTCAGTTTTTTATGTTGTTTACTGAAGCACAGAGTTATGGAGAGAAGGAACCGCGACCCGTCACACAACCCATACAGACCCTACTCTATCGTGAGCGTTTGCTATCAGTTTGTTGGAGGTTGACAAGCTTATTTGCGATATCAACAAATGAAATACTTGAACTGTGGACGCAACTCAGTGTGTTATCTGTCATCAGCGAGCGTAGCCAGGCCGTGCTCGTTTCGAGTCCCCTCGCGAGGTGAACCGTGCCACACTGGCGACTTTCTTGGTTACCATGGCAACGCCGAGAGGCCAAAAATTCGCCCCCCCCCGAAGCAGGCAGCAGGGAGGATGATGTCACAAGTTCAGTTGGTATGTCTCTAGGGCCCTACACGGGGGTGCAATCTCAAGCCGAGTTTAACGGAGTCTTACTGCCTTCTAACGACATTGGCGACCTTTCGCGCGACAAAAAGGAATTCCTATGCACCCTGGTGAGTCGACTAGCGGGTATACCTCGCCTCTTGCATCTTTAAACGTAATGAAAAATAAATAGAATTACGAGTGGTTATTTTGATACTCCATTGGATTTATACTATTCTTCCTCAAGTAATCCGTTTTCTGTCATTTATTGAAACGCCGTAAAATTTGGATTCTGTTTATTTAACTCGTATGAAAAATAGGGATTTATATATTGTCTCTTCAAAACGGTAAATCTTCAACACGAAACACACAAATGGCTTACAATTTCTTCAAAAGTTGTATGTTTATTAGCCTATAAATTTGTAATCGGAGAACTGTTTTACATTTCCTATGTGGAAAAATAATATGCGTGGAAAAATGCACATTTTCAAAAGTTTCAAATTATCTATGTTTTCCTGGACAACTGAGGGCGCTGTTGCTGTGGTCCATCCAGGGAAGGTTTACAGTTCAGTAAACGTATTTTTCTGTTAAATTTGCGAATCTAAAATTCATTCACTGAAAACGTTTCTGAGAAAGAAATATATGCTTGCTTATTGCTACGCACATCAGCGCTCAGCAAAGAAGAGAAAATTTAGTCGAGCAAAATCCACTTAACTGCAGGACTTTTTGTAAACAAACGTTCCTTGCATCCCAGGAAGACAGCCTCAACATAGGTAACGTTAAGGCTGTCTTCCTGGGATGGCTTCACAGTTTTGCTGATAAATATAAAATCTTAGTAGCATATAAACCAAAAGGGCAGTCAAATATCCCTTGAAATAATGGTACAAAAGTTGAAAAAACAAATTGACTGCAGCCACCACACATTAAACCACGTCTTTTCTTCTTCATGCAGGATCGTAGTGTAAACGTATGATTTGGCTCAAATGCAATGACGGCCATATAAATGACGTCATAATGAGGTAGGGTTCTGCGCCAGCTACAATCTGTTGGTAATCATTAATTTGACGATTTAATAAAGGAGAGCCAGAGATTCTTTATTTGAGTGATGCTGAAAACATGAGCAAATCCATCTTGTTAATAAGTCTTGATATCATCCTCGATCGATAATTTCAAATACTGCCTTTTCTCGATTTCTACAGTTTCTCACTTTAATTTGCTTATAGCGCTCCACACTGATTAACACGCGGTAGTATCATAGGTCATGTTTGAACAGGAGGCGACTGGATTTTAGAAAATGGCGTCGATGCTGTTTGTGTGCACAGTCTCGGCCTGTCCTCGAGTCGAGTCTGGCATGCTGTAGGTTTATAACGTCAGCTGAATCCAGCCGCCATAACAGTACACGTAACGGAACAGAAAATGGCAGGAGCTTTAGCGATGGCTGGACTTTACATGGCGTTTGTCACATGGACTGCACAGGGACTGAACATCACACGTCAGCCAGCTAATGTGGAGGGTACTCAAGGACTGACACACCGTCTTAGTATGGAAGTTGGGGTGAGCGGCTTGAACACGACCACACAGGTAGTGGCCATCCGTAGGGAATCGGAAGTTATTACAGATAGGACGGTCAAGCGGAACGAGGTCTTCCTGAGGCTGGGTTTGGACGCCGCCAAGTACTCTGTGTCAGAGAACATAAACGAAGACACGGGGGCCAGAGCATACACGCTGAATCTGGCCCAGCCAACCTGGGTGGATGCAGCGGAGTTCACCTTCTTGGTCTGCTGGAGAGCCTTGGGCAGATGCAACGAGAGCAGAGTCGAGCTGGAGTCGGACCCCGCGAGTTTCTTCGTCAACTATGTGCCCGGGGAGGCATATCCAAACTGCACCTCGGACGGGCTGGAGGTCGGCTCCCCAGGCGGGGACTGTAAGGTGCTTCTAGGGAGGCCCACCGTCCTGTCGTGTCAGTCGGAGATTGGACGTCCCCCGGTCGAGCTGACCTGGGAGAAAGACGGTGTGAGGGTAAGCTCAGTGTCTGCTAACGAAGGGGCATTCAGGTACGAGCGTCACACGTTCACTCCGTCCTTCGGAGACGAGGGGGCGGTGTTTGCCTGCAATATGACCGATCTAAACCGAAGTTGTACTTTGGACATAAATGTCGTGTCCGCACCGGCGGTGACCATCACATACGAGAACACGAACGGCTACATCATCATAGGAGGACGAGTCGTGTTCACTTGTTCAGCCACGACGGACACCTCGACTGTCGACGGCATTGCATGGACTGTTCCGCGGGAGCTACTCAACGCTACCGACCGGTATGCCATCAGTGGTGATGAGTTTACCTTGATACGAGCGGAGTTGTCGGATGGTGGTCTCAGCCTTAAGTGCAGCGCGAATGACACTGACGGCATGGTAGGGTCTGCGTACGTGACCCTGAATGTAATAGACGCGGCTGACCTTCCAACATATTCTCCTACCGTACCCACCACTGCACCCATTGTCAGGGCCACGACAGCCAAGCCGACAACCAGTCCGCCCCAAGATTACACAGCCATCATCATCGGCTCACTGTTCGGCGGATTGCTCCTTGCTGTTCTGGTCGGTCTTGTCATTGCGTTTTACTGCGGGCGGAGGCCGAGAAAGAAGCCAGTAGACCACCCCAGTCACGTGCAAAAGACAGCCATTCGAGAGCAGCCATCCCCAAAAGGGAAGCAGAGGAACATCACGGCTAATCAACAAACATCCACCGTGAAGGAGGTACAGTTTGCCGATATCGACGACTGCGATCCAGTGAGTTGTGATGACCCGGACGTGATCCCCAGGGGGAGCCGGAGCCGATTGCATTCTCCCGTGCGTGGGGATTCACTGGAAAGGCAACAATCGACTCCATCACTCAAGAGGTTTGGGGATGATATCCCTCTTCAAGATCGAAAACTTTCTCCGACGAGCGACAAGTATCGATATGATGCCGACTACGATCACACCACGGGTGGCTTCGAAGACGGGCATTACATCTATTCTCGAGACCCAGAAAACGGCTCCCGTTACGATGCCGACACCAGTGAGAATCGATCAGATCACTATCGTTACCAAGATGACAGCGATAGGCCGTACGATGCAGAACAGTACGACTACGACAATCGAGGTTATGACGAAAACTATGATGGTGAGTATGGCAGGGAGAATCGTCGAGATGGGACACATGACAATCGGTATAAGGATTACGACGACCAGGGGTGGTCATCAGATGAGGACGTTCACTCATATAACGATCCATACGACCAGGGACGGTACTCACCCAATGAGATCTACAACAGCGAGTTTACGAGAGGTAAAGATAGGCGATACGGTGACCGGTTTAGAGACTACGGAAGTGGAGACTCTGACCAGGACAGAGTTAGTGACACATATCACCACTCCCATGACGATGCTGGGTCATATGATGCACGCTTTCCAAACGAGGTCAGTTTGGAGACAAATCACCAAGAAGGTTACGAACAACACAGCCCACTGGACGTCGATCACTGTGACACCGGGACGTACAACTTGCATGTGCCAGATACCGGGTGTAACGTCAAGTTTAGTTATGTTTGAAACCTTCGCAAAAACCATGAAATTTACCGCTAAAAGTAACCCCACACATCTAGAAGCGTATTGGTTTGACAAATTTTTCTCCTGCACGTAGCCAGTTCCTTGTTAACATCAACATTCACCCACCCAGAGCAAAAAAATTCCGTCATCCCAGTTATAAAAGCGTGTGATTCTGAAGTTGATAATTTGTTGTCTGGGAGAGAAAAACCTTAAATAAGAGGGTCGTGATATTTGCTTGAAAATACAAGGATGTATTTGCTACTTTCTCATTCCTTTGAAATGTATGAAACTTGCCTACTAGGCATTCCTTTTTGGTTGATTTGTCTGAAAAGTGCATTTTTGTAAACATTTTAAACTTCCCACTTTTTCCCGACAAAATAATCAAGATGCTATCGCTGTGACGTCATTTCCAAAAGACAATGTTCATTTTGAAGGTTGAGCGCGAAACTAACATTAAAGGAAAGGTCATGAACTCAAATAAAAGGCGAAGAAAAGAAACATAAATGCATCGTATGAGCCCTTTAAAATTCAACAGCCTGTGAAAAAGTTAATTTTGAAACTTTCAAGATATGTTGAAACCTTAGATTTCTTTTTCAGAATCTAAAGTGGCTACGTTGCGATTAATGACTGATTGAGGCAGACAAAACAAGGATGGGGTGATTCAGTTAACAATTCTGGGGTTTCTTGTTTGCTGCATGCAGGGGCTAAATAGACCAAATATCTGCTTTCTATTTATAGTTTTGTCTGTTCAAACCTCTCTTTCTATGAAACCGAACCCTTACCAGTATTTTGGTCACAATGTCGCTTAGCTTTTCATTGTGAATGATCAGAAATCCATCATTAAACGCAAAACAAATGTGCTTTGTGTCGTAAAGGAGAATAGTTAACATTTAACTCGGGAGAGCTGAAGTGTCAACTCGCTAGCATGGCATTGTGAAATTTATTCGTGATCTGAATGCGTCGTGGAAAATGGGTCACAGCACCTCAAATTCAAACTGAATTTGTTTTATTAGAGCTGAAATATGCCCATGCATATTTCAATTACATCGTCAATATTGTAAAAGTTGAACTGAATATTGCGCTAAAGCATATATGAAACAAAGGAGTTAGTACTGAATATTAAGAAACATATTTAAAAGTAGCTGCACTATGCTTGCCTAAAAATTAAAAGTATTCATTTTCGCTCGACGAAATATAGTTTCTATCGTTAATTTGATTAATACGATTATTCATTATTTCGAGTTTTGATTCTTTTTGAAAAAAGTCCTTGCACAGACTGCCATGAAATATCTGTATTCAATTCGACCGGTTGATTTGTGCCAGTGATTCATTTATTATAAAATTCTTAATGCTTGGTGAAAGTAAGCCATGCAGAGAATTGGAATTCGATTCTATTTAATTTACCCCACTGTATGTGTGATGCCAGCTTGTTGATCTTGGAATTATAGGCCTGTATTATTGTCTGATGCTATATTGCCAGTGAAAAAGAAAGACCCAATTCAAATCGGAAATATTGCTTGATTAATATCACTTGTAATAAATGATAAACTGCCTACCGATCTGCGAATTTCTCTCTTACATTTCATTCGTCGTTTCTCGTTAATAATTCGATTAGAGATTTGGCACAGAGCTTACAAAGAATTTCCTTACAGTCAGAACGAAAGGTTTATCTGGACCAAGTAGAACAAAAACAGTTTTCTTCGAATTTCACAACTTCCGTCATTCCTACCAAATTTTCTTTTCATGAGGACAGACAAGATGGGTTTGTACTTAACGTACATGGTGTATGAGTCAAATAAAAACACCCATGATTCGTACTTACATTTACAATTTTATTTTACATACTCCCAGCTTAATATTTAGTGCCGCTTTCTGTATTTTGTGTCACGTCTCATAGTCGCAGTGGACCACTTTCTGAAGTGTTTTTGAACGACAATAAGGGGGTAAATGTAAATTTTCACAAAATGATTTTTCAGAAATATTAATATTTTGAAGTATTATACATGTAAATGTCTTTGAATAGTTTCAATTGAATTACACACTGTAAACTTTGAGTTTAGGAACAATTTGTCTGACCTCGTAAAGAAAAAGTTGGCAAAACCATTTAAAACAGCTAAAAATTCAGGAAACTGTTTTTACTAATTGCATGTCAACTTTTTGCCCCAACGGTATCTGGCGACAAATTTGGCGACAGTTTGACGTTTCAGAGACAATGTTCCAGTCGAATATGATGGAGAGCTGATTGCTCTAGGTTTGCTAGATGCTTCAATTTTTGAATTTCTAGGTCAAGTTAGAAGATCAACTAAATACACTTGAATGGCGCCCTCTTGTATAGTGACGTACCCGAATGCCAAAGGAGAATTTCGTCGTACGACGGTGCTCCATCGGAAATTTAAGTCCTTACTAACGGTACTGAACTGTGCAAACGACCGACATAAGTAATGCAGTAATTTTCCTAGAGAATCCAAATTCTAACTAACCCGGTAGCCTAGTTGGAGCTTGGACCCCCCACGACAAGATGGGATCTGTTCCCCCATCATTTTCTCTTATAAACGTTCCTCGATGATAGCCTCGATGATGAAACCAGAGGAACCTTAGCATAGGCCTAATTAGAGATTCATTTAGGATTAAAAATAGGGTGTAAGCGTCTCCGCTCGGGATAATTAGGGGAAATCACTCAGGCGTAGTCAGAAGCTGTGCCTTGCCATCCTTGTCACGCATGTGTCAAACTCCGCCGGGTTCCTTTGTGGTGATAATTCAGGGCAGAGTATTTAAAATTTAATTGAAATGAAATTAATTTCTGCGCTGCATTGAAGACTTTGGTCGGTTGATATCGTTGAACAGCGTGAACATGGAACTCGATAGTTAGATCATCGTGTGCACACGTCTCTCAAATCAAACACTTCAACCATAAGGCTGTCGGCATTTAATTGTCTGACCACCCGTGCGGCTCCCATAGCGGCTCAGGATAGCTATTCCTGGAATAATCGCTGCGATCTTCCAGTTCTGAGCCATTTTCGGCGCTACGGCCTTGGAAGTCAGAAATAATTTGTAAAAATTGGGGGATTTCGGTGAGATTATCCTGTGGTTCGATGAAGTACTCTGTCATGAAAAAAAAAATTGTTACGATATGCGATTTTGTATCTTAATGCCGTATAGCGGCACCCCGTAACAATATTCCTCGGATAATTGTCACGCACCTGTAGTGTTTTCGAGGGTCAAAAGCGGAAAAATGCGAGTACATCGAGTGCCCTTTCCTTGTAAGCCGTGAATCCGAGCAGGGTGAAGGGGTGAACCAATTGCAACCACTGGCAGCGCCCTTCGCTCCCGAAAAATAGTGAACCTTGAGGGCGCACCACTCTCTCTAGCCCCATGTGAAGACAGTGTAACATCAACAAAGTGAGACACCCCAGTCATGTCGGCCTATGCAAGCTGACATCACTGAGGTTTCTCACACAAAATTGAATTATTTTCTTGTCCTTCACCATTCTATTTTGTTGTAATGTTTTGTGGGTTAGCATTGACATTTTTGATACTAACACAAAACAAACTCACTTCCCCAAAAATGACAGTTCCCTGGCCTGCATGCAGCTGTTTTACAACACTTTCTCAGGCAATTAGAACCCATTTTCACAACTTTCAGATGCAAGCTCGAAACTGGGTAGTCAATCCTGGCTTATACATAATCGGACTATTATTTTACCCAGCCAAACAGTCTCCTTTTTCAAAAATAGTTGTGAGTGTACTTTTTTATGCTAATTAGCTCGCGTAGAAATTCTCACGGTGTGGTGCGCCCTCGAGAATAGCCGGTATGGTTTTCTCATTCGCTCGGGTCGAAGGCCTGTGGGTGTTGATTTCCATGGCACTCACCCCAAAACTGTACGAACTCTGAGCGGTGGAATGGAGGACGTTTTGTTACCTCGCAACGCCGTTCGGTTGGGCCAAAAACCCACACGCATACTGATTAGCCTTCTCAAGTCTTTGCTCAGAAAGACTCGGCTATGGCAAACGATAACACATGCGCCTATTGAAGCCGCAGGCAAACAGCCGCAGCCACCTCCCGTATCACTTAATATGATATGATAATAATGATAATATGAGAATGGAAACCTGGTACATTGATTTTAATAAGAATAAAGGTATTTATTATTTATTACAATGATGTAAACATGTCCCTAGTTTCTGCAATTGCAATTAATAATTTAGCATTGAAGCTTTTTGATAAAATTGTTTTAAAAAATTCGGATACTGGTTGAATTAAATGAATTGGACCTCTTTTAAAACACCATTCATTGCACAGTTAGTACAAATTGCTTAAAGTTTTGTGTCTACATTTAACGTTATTTAAATGATCACATAATTCCAATCATTACCACTGATTGAAACTTATTTGCCTGAAGTATAACTGATGTTGAATAAAGAGTTTAATTAATCTGGCAGTTTTAAATCTTACACTTGCCTTAGTTTTTGCCATTTATAGTCTTGGCGTCTTCGGTAGTATATCCAGAGATAAAAACTACCTTCCCATAATGAGATATGTGACTGGCTCTGAAAAAAATGGCCCTCGCGCTCTCGTGTGACAAACTGATTTTAAGTGATGCCTATGGATAGAGAAGCATGTAATAAGGATTAAATTTATGCATTTTTGACCTCTGTCGCACATTCAATTTCCGAAATACAGTAAAATTTAGACTTGATCTCTGGCAGGTGTATGGAACGGTCTGTTACATAAAGAGGAAGAGCATGACTTAAGAGCCTTTTTTGCAGAGTGGATCACATATAGTTTATGTTTTAATATTGAACTTGTGTGACCCGCTTTTCATGTTAGTCGTGTGTATATAATTATGTAAAGTCCAATCATCCAATCAATTATTCTCTCTTCACCATTGTTTTAAATTGGCGTGAAGAGGAACTTTGACGAATACAATGCAAATGCAGGGAGTTGAAATTTGATGAAACGTTTGGTTGCGCAGTGACAGCTACAGTTGGGCAGAACATCAAAAGCAGGGCTTAATGGATTTATTCCTGTTGGTTGGGACACTGAGTTACATGTAATTTTGGGAACTGAATCCTCTTAAGGCGGACACGCCCCCTCACTAGCCACAGTCAAGGTATCCAGACCGTTAGCGCAAGCGTATGCCTCCAGAACACAGGCCGATGGATATGTCTGTCCGTCGGTGCCACAGACAGGGGTAGTCGCGACGGGGCAGGCGGTAACACAGGTGGTGCTGGGCCCGTTGACCGTGGGAGATGCACTCGGGTTGGAGGAGGGAGTGGGTTCAGAGCTGAATGGACCGGGAGGTGGGTTGGTAGGCGGGTTGGTAGGCCCACTTGACACGCTGGGGTTGGTGACAGGACCATTCGTCATTGTCGTGCCGGCGCTCGGTGGTTGCTCGGTCGACGGTGAAGTGACCGGACCAAGACCTGCGTGGAGAATAAACGTGCATGAAAATTTCTTAATTTCACTTCCTTAGAAATAAGTAAAGTTAAGCTTCGAATTTATGTTAGCAGTCATTTTTCAGAGAAGTCATATTTCCTCTCGATTTGTCATGATGTGTTAACAGGCCTACATGGACAACAAAGAGACCAAAAATAGATTCGTGATACATGTCTTTTTGGGCTCAAAAATATCCTCGTGAGAAATTTATGCGTCTTCCTTTCTTGCCAGATCATAAAAACACAAGCAGTTCCAAATATTCTGCAGAAAGACATCACAAGTCATTTTACGTACAGGAACTGATGTGTGGAATATGGACAAAATGAGGCAAAGTTGCTGGCTGGAAGGGTAGTTCACTTTTGAAGGAAGGAAGTAAGTCTTATTAAACGTGACCGGGCATAATGTCTCATGCAAACCAGAGAGTTTTTTTCTTTTTAAGGCTGGTTTCCTGCCTTTCCCTTCATGCAGAATGTATTGAGAGGTCAGGGGACCAACTTAGATTCTTAGGCAAAATCCCATCTAATTTAGATCAGAACTAGTCGCTCTTGGAATGTAAGTTATAAACCTGTGTCTCCTTCCTCCATGGTTATAAGCACTGATCCGCATTAGTCTGGTACCTTCGAACTTACCAGATGTTGTTCCATCCTCCATCTCGTCGCTCTCCAGGCTGTTATCTTCCTCGCTCTCACTTTCTTGGTCATGTCTTCCTTTTCCTCCCCCCACTTGGAGGGCAGGGCAGAGTCGGGGGCAACGACCCTCCCCGATGACGGTGATGTTTCGCCCCTTGAGGCAAGCTATCTTGTCCACAAAGCAGGTAGAGGGGAAGGTAAGGTTACGGAGTCCGATGGAAGCGCAGACGCGGGTGGCTGGGGTTGGGCGGGGGCATCGGCGACGGCACTGGGGTCTGTCAGTGTCTTGATCACGATCACCTGAATGATACCAGAAAATCGCCACAGGAAACTGTGATGAGTATCGTCCAATTAGAGATGCTGTTCCATGTATTAGATGGAGAAATTTGTGCTCTGGTTGAGGGAAACTCTTGATTTATTGCGACAAATTGAAACTACAGTCCAAACTGTGTGGACTAACACGATCTTCTTGTGACGTATGCAAATATTATTCTCCTGTTCAAACAATTAAAAAAAATGTTGCGTGCATTTATACAATTTTAAAGTTGTTTTGGGTGCATTTATACACTTTAGGGGATTCGAATGGTTAATATAATTAGCATGTTATGCATCAAGTGTTCTGTTATGTCCTACCGTGTCTGTTTCCTTGCCTGTGTCGGCCGAAGGGCTTGCATTCGTTCACTGAGACGAGTGCCACCAATAGTACAACGGCGAAGATTGTAACTGTTCTCATCTTTATCTGGTAAGCTAAAAATTACAATAAAATATATCAGAGTAAGAAAAGTGTCTGATTTCTTTAGTAACAAATTGATTTTTAAATCATCAATAATGAGAAATTTACAATCGTTGTAGTTCCTTCTGTGTTAAAACGAGACAAATCAGTACAAGAATAAATAAATTTTTTTCTGTTTATGTTTGATTCTTTTTTCATACATAAATTTATACCATTAAGGCATACCTCTACTGAAAACAATCTACTGTGTCATTTTTAACACCACTGTGAAGCATTTTTGTCTTCACGCCTTGAACTCTTCCATTAGCACCAAATTCGAAGGAAAATTTGGCTCACATTTAAATTGCTTTTCTCTACTGTAAATATATAAGTGGGCACAATATTGCGAGACTTTTAAAAATGGTGCCAGGTTATTCTGACCGTATGGAAATAGAGATGGATTTGTCAAACAAGTGAACATTCCCCAAAATTACTTCAGAATGCTTAACTACACCAAATTGTTTCAAAAATTATAAGCAGTGTCCACGTTTTAAACATTCAGAATCCACCGAAAATTTACGCCACTTACCTTTCCACCTTGCTCTGCTGCTGTTCAAGAAAACTCTTCTTCGAGAACGATCCACTTCGGACTTTTTATTCGTTCAGGTCGAAGGTCAGCAGCTAGCTAGTGGTCGTGTTACTCATCCCAAAACTGTGTTCTGGGAAATAACTTGGACAGATGGTCATGGTGACGGTCGCAATAGACCACAAGGACGACAACTAAAAACACCCGGATATCCTTTGATGAAGTCACGTTGCCACCAAAAACTCGTCCATTATTGCAAGTTTGCCTTTCAGACTTGGACCCGTTGAATCATCGATACCGAGTGGTCACCAATCGAAAGTAAGCAAAAGTTCGTAGCTTCATGAAAGAAAAAAAAAAGAACTACAAAATATACGAAAAATCTTGACAATCAAATGGACCTGATTCCTTCAGCAAATGATTGAGCAACCTTTTAAATTTCCATTCGAAATTACTGAA